CCAGGAACTAAGTAACTACGACATCAACTAATTGTTCAGCAAGTACTTCAATCTTTTTTTGAAGTTGATAAGTGACAGGTCTTTAAGATCATCTTGCTATGAGTTGTACAGTTTAACGGCACTAAAGGAAAAGCATCTGGCAAAGATTACCGTGATGTGACGAGGAATAAGTAGGGTATGCCTACATCCCTGTTGACTGCGATTCGAATTGTAAGTTGTTTTTTGTTTTTTTAATACTCGGAGACTTGTTTTTAATTTTAATTCTTGTTACTATAGGTACTATATTGATCATTATTTTTACGATATAATCCCTTATTATCACAATTTCTTGAATTTAACTATGAACTCAAATAGCTTCACAACGATTGAAGATGTAGGTATAAACTTCATTATACAAAAGTTACTAAATACTTCATAGAAAATCTAAAAATTGAAACAATGGTGGCTTCCATTTAAAAATCTAAAGTGTAACGCAATATCTTACTTTTGGATCCCGCTACATTGTACGGCTATAGATGAAAAGACTAGAAATCAAAATTGACGTGTCCGAGCATTTTTCCAAAATATACCAGGAGAGTCACAAATAGGGGTGCGACCAAGATTCAATGTACCTAAGTGAACCTACCTAATGACAATTGCCCTTGAAAACTATTTGACTCATCACTGTGAAACTGCTAATGAAGGCGTAGGAAGTATAGTCATTCTACTTGACGCCGATTTTGTCTAAGGGGGGTTAATTTGTGCCGAACAATCTCTTGTGAACTGATGATAGCCGTGCGTGCAAAGTTCATATATGACGTCATTTTTCAAAGCAAATTGGCAAAGGCAATTTTTTGACATTTACCTGTTTATCACTAGGTGCAGGTGACACAAGCAACAAAAAAGACGCACGAACAGCAAATGAAAGAAGCATTGGAACAGTTCACTAAAAGCAATCAGGAACTGGTAGCTAAATCTTTGGCAGATGAATACACAAAACCAAGCACAGCAGTGAAAAGGCCACGAGAGGCATCAATAGAAATGTTACATACTGAAAAATCCTTGATGGTGAGTAAAATGTCCATATTGCGTATGTCAAATAGTAGCAAAGTCACAAAAAATACTTCAGTATGTGTTCAGTCACAGCAATTTATTAGATTGTATACTAGGCCAAATAGGGAAGATGGGGTATTTTTTCAATTTTATAGGATTTCATGTACATGAAAAAAATAAAACATACCGTTTCAGGCTATCATTTGAAAGCTACTATAGAAAATACACTTGCAGTGGTGACGTTACTCTTGTTTATTTGTCATCACCAAATTCATCATTCACATTGGACAGCTGTTGTAGGGACTTTAGTATACGTGATTAGATTACTGTCAAGAAGCTTTCGAAACACTCTTATAGTCCATGATTTATCCATATTAGAATGGAATATTCCTAGACAGGACATCATTTTTGTTAAAATGTTCCCTAAAAGTTGTTACAAAAGATAATATCGACATAGCCTTGTTCAGAATCCTCTACTTAGGCTAGAAATAAAATAAATGGACAATTGTTCTCAATGCCATCGACGCTTGACTACTGAACCTTTCAATGGATAGCCCAACATATATCACAGCTATCATAATAGCTGACCAGAAATCAAATTTCTTGTTATGAATAGGAGAGTTGACACGTTTTTGATTCATGGACTAAGGCCAATAGTCTAATGGACGCGCTTTCGTTCGAATCATATTCCATACTCGGCAGAAAGAAATCGTATGGAGATTCCCGAATAATCCTATAACATTATAAATTTCATCATACAAATTATTTGACCCCCCCCCCCCCTGTTTTGATCAATAAATAATGTTGCAGGTGATTTTTACAGATGTCATCATCTTATATTATACCAATTATACCATAAGAATCTGCGTACCACCCAACAGTTTTGATCAATCGGTCTGGGCGCCATACCCTTTTTCGCAGATATTTTATAACGAATCTCTGCTCAACATGATCCATTTCTATTAGAATTCTGGTTACTGATGAACAAAAACCACGTAACCTCAAAAAAGTTTTACATATAAACTTAATATTTTGTTGTTGTAGCACACTAATAATGTCTATTTTCTGGAAATACAATAATTTATAAAAAAAAATCATCATAGCTTTGTATTTCCGTAGGAAATATTTCACATAGTGAAATGATATTTGTTTAACTTGAACTATTAATATGGCACATTCACATATTGTGTCCTAGTGGGCAAATCAAATGCATTTTCTCCGATTTCTGACATAGCTCGGACTAAAATGCACTCATTAGTCCTAAAGTACTTTCCGTTTCGAGTAATGTTATAGTATTTTTCACATCATTTGTTTGTTGAACATTTATCTAGCATTAATGCTACAATGTAAATATTCTTGTGCACAATTTTTGAATCAAACCGTATTTATTATCTGTTAATCTCAATATACGTCAAAACGTAATTAATAAGTGTCGTGAAACATTCTATAGCACCTATACATTAATTACGAAGGAGATATCTAGATATGCTTCTCCATTTCTGAGTGTTTTCTTGCAATCCACTTCTCCATTTTCCTCCTGACTCTGTGCGGGCACCCCTCAGACTGGCTCAGGACCAACATGCTTGCGCGCTTATCCTGCTTTTGCAAGAGTGTCCGCCATATCATTGCCCTTTATCCCAGCGTGCCCCAGTACCCACACCGATACCAGATGCTAGACTATCCAGAGCCTTTCTGCATTGCATCACAAAGCTCGAAGTAATCTAGCATCAACTTTGTGCCTTCATCGCAGCCTGGCTGTCGGAAAAAAATATTATTCTTCTCCTAAGCCCTTCTTCCTCTAAAATGCGGGATACGCAAGCCAGAATCGCATAGATTTTCGCCTGGAAAATATTGGTGTATCCATCGAAGTGCCTAGTTCTAGGCCCAAATACTCCGGCGTCAGAGCCTCTTCAGTGACCGTACCGTCCATCTACCAGACCTGCCCACTCCATTCCGACACCTTCCGGATTCCAGAATCCCACTCCTCTCTCGTTATATACTCCACATTAAACGTGCGGTTGAACCGATATTTAGGCGTGATCAGATCAACCCTGCTCAGAAGGACATGATCATCCCTTTGCAGTTCGACTAAGATAGCAGTGTGACCCTTGACAGGATTCAAAAAGGCCCCTGACTGCACAGTCGATGTGCTACTACTCTTGCCTCTCCGCGGAGCAATAGATCCAACGGTGGGAGATCCACTGCGCTCAATGGCGTTGTCCGCACTACGCTTTCAATACTGGTACAAGCCAAACGCTGAATTTTATTGAGTTTGGTCTAAGTTGCCTCGGTTCCAATACAAGGCCACCAAACCAGGGAGCCATACAAAAGAGATGGACGTATTATCGTCCTATAGAGCCAAAGTACCACTTTGGGTTTAAGCCCCCACCTCGCTCCGATAACTCGTCTGTAAGCCCACAAAGAATTGCGTGCCTTGTTAACCTTGTACTCAACATGCTCTCTCCAATTCAGTTTTACAGTTCAAGAAATTTCCTAGATATTTTACTGATTGGGATAGAACTAGTCTAGTCCCAAAGAAGGTCGGCAAGATAAGCCCGTCAAGCTTCCTTCTCCTACTGGATAGAATTAGCTGGGTCTTTCCCGCGTTGACAGGTACATCGACCTCCCTACACCACGATTACACAGCGCGCAGTGAGCCCTGTATAATCTCAGAGATCGTTCTACAAAAAGTGGTTAGGGGAACCACTGTGCTTGAATCGTCTGCATAGGCTTGCACATAAACACCCGCACTGCCGAGCCTAACTAGGGGATCGTTCACCACGAGGCACCACAATAGGGGTGACAGAACTCCGCCTCGCGGACGGCCCCTAGCTACACTGACGCTGCTGCATACGACCTCCAGCATAACCGTTGCTACACGACTCTCTAGAGTGGACAGGACCCAATAACCAGGATTGATCTAACCCCGAGCCTAACCAAGGCATGTCTGTTGGAGTCGGTTGTAGTGAAATTAAATGCAACCCGTCGAAGATGGCAGTTTACTCTGCCATCCACCAGTCCTCCCCCGAGGGCCTGCGCAACGGCATGCACTCTGTAATCGATTGCGCTTCTGTGGAACCGGGAAAGTGTGGATGTATCAGAAGCCTCAAAGTTCCTTCTTCGGAAGTAGTATGACCTCCCAAGGAATCAGACAAAGACCCAACCTTGCTTTGGTATCATTGCACAAGATTCTGCGTATTCCAGCTGTAGCAGGAATGTCGTTAATGGACTAACAGAAGTTCCTTCCAGGATTCTCTGGAGGCCGTTCTAATCTCGTTTTTATATTCGTGCAATGCCTTCTTGTACTATTCGCACTGGGGAGAGGCTCTCCTGTGCCTAACCCTACTAAAAAGTTTGTACACAGCCATTACCACCGAGGGAACAAGGCCTGACAACAAACGCATAACGTCACCACGAGTAGGTCGGCCGACACGAGTATTATGTAAAAAACCTATAAAACAACAAAAAAACAATAAAATGTCATCTTGGAAACTAGGTAGTTTTTAGGATGCAAATAGTTCATTCCACATTTGCTCGCTATGATCGTTGTGAGCGTCCATCTATGGAGGAATGACTCATCTACACGCATTGTTGGTTGCAGAGAGCAAGTATATGTTTTGTGAAGTCGAGTAGTCTGTAGTGAGAACATGTGAAAGAAAGTTGGTTGAATAGCAAGATCGCATTTGTATGATTATGTGTATTGGTCTGCATTTGTATAAAATCAGTGATATTTGCTATGTTATAGGATTATTACTGAATATGCTGCCAATGAAGTATATCTATTAGCTGTGCCTGACGGGTTATTTATATGTCGTTCTTTCTTAAGACAGGTTATGCTAAGTTATAAATTACGATTTTTCCAGTTTTTTGTGTTTTTAAAAAAATTTGAGGGGCAGTACGGGAAATCGCCTCCGTGCCCGCATTGTATTCAATTAATCCACATCACAGAAAAATTAGAAATGATGCATCACACATCAAACATTTTCGCAATGCCTCACATCTAGGCGCTGATTTGTATTTTCTGTTGACATCGCAAAATAAATTTCTATAAATTTAAATGACTAGAAATAAAAAATAATGTAATAACCTTTTCATTTCCATACATATTCCTGTCTATATCATATTTTCCCACCTGTTCCTTTACCAACCAGGGACTTTCTTTTCTTATTTCTCTCATTTTTAAATTCAGCAAATTTGCATATGTAATTACCAGAATAAATAAGAAAAAGTGGATGCGAAACTAATTTCTAGCTTTGAATCTCAAATAAGTGTATTTGAGACAAGAAACCAATGGAATTAATCATCAACACATATTATTAGCACACAAATCCTCACTATGCACCTATTTACTGTCGTTTCCTTCCAGCTATAGTATACAACTTAGAGCTTAGACCTCCAATAATGTCATATCTGAAGCAGATTTTACATCACATCAGAGCCAAACTTTGATAACTGAAACATGACGTTTAGGCAACACGTACAACTACAAAACTAATTCACAGCAAGTGCCCATCAGCTAGTGCTAGGTTAACATCTTGTAGAAAAACCTACATAATGTCACAAAAAACCAATATAATCTCAAAAAAAATTGACATAATGACACTTTTCAAGATACATAATACCCGTGCCGGCCGGCAGCACGGCGCGCCGTACTTCAGCGCTAGTGAATAATATATGATTATTTGGTGGAAAATGTTAAAGCAGTTACTAACTATTATCACTCTGATTTTCACTGATATTTCATTCAACATTACGAGTACATTTGAGTAATAAGTTGATCCCATAAAAGCTTACAATATTTTGCTAAACATAATAAATTATTCAATGACTTACATAACCCAATGTTTGTCACAATCGATCAACAAAATTTTAAAGGAATATGTGGACTACAATCTAAATAAATGTGGGCTGATTGTATACAACATAGTTCAAAACACTTGGGCAAATAATTGCGGGACACAAATATGTATAAGTTTAAAACAACAATTTAAAGTTTACAAAGCAAAAGAACATATTAATACGTGATAACAGCTCAGAATTTGAGGTTAGCTGGCTGCTAACCACCTGTTGCATGTTACCATATTTCGTTTTGCATGAAAAGTTAGACTTCATACGTGACAGATTGAACGTAATATCGAAACTGTATTTTTGACATACTGAGGCAGATCAGAAAGAACAATCACCTCATGATTGAAGCTGCGCAGATCCCGATTGTGTCCTGCAAATTTCCCCACAGAGAGCTTTAACTAATTAGTAAAGATTTCGGTATGCTATATCATATCTAGATATGTCAGCACCGCTCTTACCAGCCAGCATGCCGAAACACCTAGCGTGACGTCACAACCTTATCGCAGCTCACTTGTTAGGCCTTCTTATCTCGGTGGTAATTTCACAGCTCGTTTCCTATTCTCTAGCTCCTTAGACCAGAAGGTTACTTCGCCCTTACCATGAACTTTGCATAACGGGCAGTTTTCCTTATACGATGCTCTCAAGTCCCTGCTCAGAGGCTCCACAGCTGCTTCTATATCAGAGCCCAACATAGGCTGTTTTGAAACACTCCTAGCTTACTATCATGATCTGCCCTATAGGACGCCCAATTAGTATGCCCGAGCGTATTTATCTGGAATCTCCCCGTCAGTATTGAAGAACTTATACCTGTGATCCGATGGAAAGGGTGTTTAACGAGACTTTCCAGTCCCTAACCTCCTGAGCTAACTTAAGCGTGCTCAGTGTTACATCGGTAAACTGTTCTCTGAAAGTATGCATGTTACCGATATTCAGAACCTCAAGGTTTCGTTGTCCCTAGGAACTCCATGAGCTCTTTTGACCGTCGGTTGTATGCGAGCTGCCCACATAACGTGGTATCCAACCACGAGGTCAAGTCCAAAATCCCTACAATATGCCATAAGGTCGCTCAATTCTTTAGACGGAGGAGGTTCCCTTGAACCATAAGGATGGTATGCTGATCCTACGACCAAATTCCTACTATCAGCGCCTTCCTTGTTATATCTAATTCTAACTGCAACTAAGTCTCTGAAGGTAGATTCTTTAAGTTGCCATGAATCAATGTTAGTCATTACGCAAGCTCTGAGCTTTAGTGTCCGGAGTATCACTAAAAAGCGTATAGCCCGGTATATTGAGCCCGTTAACTGAACTGTTTCTCAGCCAGGGTTCCTGGATGAGAACTACGTCATCGCGGCCTCGATAGATCTCCCGTGAAGCCGCTATGCAGTGCTGTAGGTTAATTTGAATGAAATTAAGACTTGCCATAAATGTCGAACGACCTCTCCTGCACCTTCCTGGAAACCGGTATATAAGCCTATTCAGGCGTTCGGCCGTCACCGCGACAATCTTCAATGTCGCAGCCGCTTCCCTGGAGGAGTTATCGGACCTGGTTTAGTAATCCATCCTCGTCCGAGTCGCCAACGCCAACCCCCTCCCCCCCTTAAAATCACTAGGTAAAAACATTGCAGTGGCTCTTCTCTCATGATTAGCTATGTTTTATTCCACCTATTTTGTATAGATAATAATTTTACGTCTTTCCTATTATCAAACTTCTGAATAAAAATATATTTCAAACGTTTTTTTTTTCTACATAGTGTTGTATGTCTTATCCAAAATTTAAAATCACGATGATTTCATAGCCGGCTCCAACAGCTGTACCCACTGACGAGGAGCAGCAGCAACCACCACCTAAAAAGCCTAAAGACACGGATTCGAGGACGCTATCTCCACAAGTACAAGCATTACCTAATGTCCTGACGACGCAGCCTCCTCAGCAACAGGTTAGTAAAAGTAGGGAAATTTGTCTATTAGGTTGTGTACAGATATTGTAGTTAGGTGTAAGTTTCCTCGGAATATTTTCATGTTACTGAAGTAATTACACTCCATGGACTGACAGCTGTCTAGAAATATACTTATTCATAGTGGTTCTTAAGAATGCGCCAAATATACCTAAGTAAAATGTCGTTCGTTAATTATATACAGGGTGTTGAAGTTTAATTTTAAAAATTGTTTTTATGATTGTATTATAATTTTCAACATAGTGTCTATAGTGACTACAATTTTGCTATTGTATTCCATAACCGTTTTGCTAGTAGCGTGTAATTATTTTTATTGGAAATTTTGCTAGTGTGATGCCTTTAGGCAAAAAAGGCACTTTACATTTCTCTACATCTCGACTAAACTTGTCAAATGACTGGCTAAGATACAGTCCATTAATAGCGGAATCTGTTATGGATAAAAGGTGAAAGCTGTTTTTGATGTCGTTAATTATCCATGACAAGTTCATTTCTCGTTTACAAAATATCTCAATTTCAACGAACTGTTGTTGAACCAGCCATTTCACTATGCAATTGAATGTTGAAATGCAAGTATTTCTAAACAGGTTTAACCCAAACAAATATAGAGTGCCTTTTTGTAATTAAGAATGACCATTCTACCATAATTTTTAATAGCAATGGACTGATACTAGCAAAAAAGTTATGGCAGAATATAGCTAGAATATCATTTGTATAGTAACTAGTGCCGTCTACATGTTATGTTTGAAAATAGAATATGTATGATTTCTTTATTGTCAGAAACCTCCGTTTCAAGATTTTCATGTTGATATCACAAAAACAATTTGAGTTGAAATTATTTTGAAAATTCAATTTCAAAATCCTTTTCTCATTAACGAGACATTTTAATAAGGTTGGTAGTATTTCTACTGAAGTTTAATCCCGGATTGGTTTTTAGCGCATTCATTATGGACCACCATGTATTAACATATCATTTTTGCTGTCCCAATTTTACGACTTTCTTATCAAAAAACAAATCTCCAGCCGACACAGCAGCAGCCACCGTCTCAACAATCATTACAGCAACAGACGCAGTCACCTCCAACACCGTCTCAACAGCCACAACACGATGACGAAGGTGTCGATATCGAAGCGCTGTTGCCACCGTCTACGGTTGTCAAGCCAACCGGGCTCACTCCCGAGAAAAAGACTGCTACTAAGGAGGACAAAACGCCCTTACTAGCAGTGGTGCCAAATCCCCAGCAGCCGTCGCCAACACCCACGCCTCCTCCCGCCAAAGAAAACTATTCTGAAGATAAGTCCGATGAATCACCTGTTAAGGTTAGTTACTCTTTTAATAGCATGAGTATAACGCATATGATGGGGAATTTGTACATACTTTAAATTAAGAGATCGAGCGATACGTGATTTTCGACGTTATTGATATATCGGCCATACAGAATCGGGTGTATTTTGGTTCGCGTGAGTACGTGGATAGCAGACAGGTTTATTGACACACAGCACGTATACCGAGTAACAATGAACATTGGAAACACTGTGTATTTTTTTAGCCAATAAAGATTAGTTGACCTTGAATTTCGTTGGAAATCTGTATATTTTCCTCCATAATCGTGCTCCTATGCAAAATTCCCTTTCCAACGATGTCTCACAAGTGACATTTTCATTTTAAAATGATGGCGCTATGCAGGAATTTGTGGCGTGATCAACAAATGTCTATTAAAACAGGCTAAATAAATGACGGCTTGTAATTATGCGTTTTTCATGTTAGTAAACTTATTTGAAAAAAATCAGGAATCCACATATTCTACGTAAATGATGTATAACAAGTGTTTCTTTTTTTGTCAAATGACAGCAGCATAAAAAAATTTGTGAATTAACCTCCATAAGCTATATGTATTACAAAACAAAATTATTTTTTTTTATTATTGGCTGTAAATGAAAACGCATTTCCATTTATGTTCTGAAAGCTACTATCGGTTTACTAAATATATAAAATTACAACTACATATTTCATGGAAGCCACCAATCGCCGCAAGAAAGTAAGGAGGCTATGAAAATTGAGAACGTCTTCGAATAGCATTTATTTTGGAAGAATAGTAGCATGTGGAAAACAAGTGGAAGTGGATTCATAGCGTACCCATTATTGTTTAGTTATTTGACGTTTGGCAATCTGCGTTTCACTTAAATTTATTCCTATTTCATAAAAGGCAAACCTACAGTATTTTTTACTATGAATTTTACAAGAAACGAGCAGGTTGATATGCTATTAATATTCGGTGAATGAAGAAAAAATTCTAGAAATGCTTGTGCGTTGTACATTCAGCGATATCCTCATAGAAGACGTTCTAGTTATTCATACTTTTTCAAGTTAGAAGCAAAGTTTAGAAATGAGGATGTCAGCGGTGAAGAAGAGAACTCTTTCGTAGTAAGTGAAGAAGTGGAGATAAATGTTTCGGCATATGTTCACTTTGACCCAACGCTTGGGGGAGGGAAAGATTTTACTGGGTCAATAGCAAGGAGGGCGTGAAAGACTGGTGCAGGAAATGCCTTGTGTGTGCGGCAAGTAATGGACCGCAAAGGAAACCAAAAGCTTCGATGCGCCAATATAACGTGGGGAGCTCCTTTGAAAGGATTGCTATTGATAAGGCGGGACCCTTTCCAGAAAGTGAAGCAGGGAATAAATACATCATTGTGGTAATGGATTACTTCAGCAAGTGGGTTGAAGGAAGCCTCTACTTTAGCCGATGCTTTAGTAAAGGAATGAATCTGTCGACTTGGTGTACCTTTAGAGTTGCATTCGGACCAAGGGTGCAATTTCGAGTCAAATCTGTTCCAAAGTATCTGTCAAATCCTTGGGATTAAGAAGACCAGGACTACTTCCTTACACCCGCAGTCAGATCGAATGGTGGAGCGCATGAATAGGACCATTAACCGGTATCTGGCTAAGGTAGTTTCTAGCCATCAAAGAGACTGGGATAGTTTTCTTCATCTCTTCTTATTAGCTTACCGATCGTCGATTCATGAGAGCACAGGAGAGACCCCGGCTCGAATAGTTATGGGAAGTGAACTTCGTCTGCCATGTGATCTAAAGTTTGGCTGTCCGCCAGGAACTGATATTGCCCTAGAAGACTACGTAAGTGAGCTGCGTAGAAGAATGGACGCCATCCATAGCCAGCTACCGGATGAAGGAAGCTTATGACGTTAATGCCAAAGACCAGAGGAATGACAACGGTGATACGGTTTGGCCTTACGACACAAAGAGGCGAAAAGGGCTGTCGCCTAAACTTCAATCATCCTGGGACGGGCCATATAAAGTTCTGGAGGCCATCAACTATGTTCTCTACAGGATTCAGAAGGCACCACGCGGTAAAGCTCGAACTGTACATTTCAACCGCCTTGCACCTTATCTTGGAAACAACGAAGATGCGGCGGTGCGGCAAATCCAACCAGAACCGGACATGACATTTTTCTAATTTATGGCTCACCATGCTAATGGCCATAAGAGTCGGTATGGCGTGACATGTGAAGTACAGCATGATGTGTTTACCACTTCACCAGAGCATGACCTGGCACACTGTGTGGCTCAAGACTTGCGAATGTCGAGAGGTACAGCAAAGGTCTTTCTTAGGTTAGTTTGGAAGAGTGCACGAGCTGCGACAATCTAACCCGGAATTCGGAGAAGTACTCCAGATGACTGAAGAGGGGTACCAACCGAAAGATCTTCTATTTGATTACCAAGAAAGCTTCATATCAGAAACCGAATTACGAGGATGTCTGGAACGCTTTGTGTTCTCTTCAAGAAGTGTTGCTTGCCGAGCACCTGAGAAAACTGTCAATACCTAAGCTGACATGTGGACTCGACAACCTGGACTGGAGAATCATCCGAAGCATGCTTGACTTAGTCTTCCGGTATACAGCCATTCGATTTCTGGTATGTTGTCACAGTCCTAGACGGCTACCTCCTGGATAGAGTGTGGATTGTTACTTCTTCAAGAACTCCTACTGCAAGAGAGGGCCGTCGTGCCGATATCGACAACCACCGCCAGTAAGATCATTCCAGGACGGAATGACTTTAGGGAGGGCAGTGTGACAAATAGTACTGTTGGCGCCATCTGTTGGGAGAGTCTCCTACTCGCCAGAGCTTCATGGCCGATTTTACGCGAACCACGATCGCACAAGCCGCTTGGCGACGTCTGTGAGGACCGTGGCAGTGGCTCGCCTTCTAGATCGACGCGAAGCAACCTCGACTATTGGCTATGTGACTCCCGATTCTTCTCGTCTCAACGATGCGGACTATATAACTCGGCGGCGGGAGATGGAAGCGGAGTACTGAATACGGTGGAGTAGCAGAGCGGAGTGGAGTATAGTGCAGTCAATTGCGACATAAGAATTAGTCAGACATAAATAGTGGTGTACATAAGTGTTCTATCAAGTTGAATAGATTAAGGCATTTCTTTTTGTGGAATCCAGTGTTTTAGTCCAAAAGAACCCAGAAAAACGCTACATTATAGTCGGCAATTCCATATTCGAAAGTAACTGATGTTTTTCGAATTCCTTGTCTGTCATCGGTCAATGTAGAAATTTTACATTGTACCACAGTCATAGTACTACTCTGTCCATGAGAATATACGTTTCTTAGTTCTTACTAGTTTTAGATCATATAGTTTTTTAAAATATAGGTAAATTAATTTTTGAAATCTGGAAACTGCGTTTTTTCAGCAGACTAGGCAACTGGAACAAGCAACAAATGTAAATCGTGAGTCAGCTAGGCAGATCTTCAAGAAACATGGATTCCGCTCATATCAATGTCAGGTATCTACGCCATCACTTATATGAAAATGATTTTCCAAGAAGATTGGCCAACTGTAACACTGAAAATCCACGTTTGTTAAGGGGTGGGGCCTTTCCAGACCGTTTTGAAGTGAACGTGTGGCTCGGAGTTCTGGGAACCCGTCTAGCTGGTCCTATATTTTTTGATTAACCCTTAAACGGGGGACATTATCTTAACTTTTTGCAAAATGAAATAGTAGATTTTCTTGATGGTTTGCCCCTGACTGACAATAGTTCTATTTCATCAAGATAGGGCGCCCGCCTAAAACAGCAGAGAAGTTACAAGATATAGAAGGATAGATCCGGGACTCGTTGGGTAGGAACAAACGGTCCTATTAGGTGGCCCGCACGCTCACCCGACTTAACCATTTTAGACTTTTTCATTTGGGCCCAGTTGAAGGAGAAGGTTTATGTCACGCCTCCTATAAATCTGTTAGATTTAGAACAGCGGTAACGGCACCCATTAACGCCTTATCTGAACATTTTTCTAAACAATGGGCAGGTAGAAACCATAAGAAGGGTCAATAAATGCTACGAAAATAATGGAGGGCGCATTGTAATAGCTAATTCCTTTATAGCGCCGCCATTTTAAAACGAAAATGTCAGTTGTGACGCATCTTTGGAAAGGGAATTTTGCATAGAGTATACGATTATGGAAGAAAATGTATAGGTTTCCATTTGAAGTACGAAAGTCAAGGCCACTTCCGGTTAAACCGTTTTTCCAATTTTCATTGTCACCCGGTAGTTGATAAGGGCATGAACTGTAAAGTGTTATAAAGCACTATGAATGACAATCACATTAATCACTAGGGCTACTTTTATTTTGTTTCTAAAAAAATATAAAATATAGAGAGGTAATATCTGGTGTATAAACAGTGACAGATTGCAGCTTCGGAATGTAAAAATAGATTTGCAAAAGTCTGCATAAACCATACACACGTGCTGCACCGTGCACTTGCGCAAGCCCGGCTTGTTAAAGTGACGGAATGGAAATCCAAACATTTTTACAAGTAAATTTTCCATACAGGTCTTCATAGGTGTATATGCAAGTCAGAACCTTTACTTGATCTGCTTCGGTTGCATGAAGTTGACCAATGTACGAAAGTGAAGAAAACTAGTCTGGGAGTATTCCCACAAAATTTATGATCAAAGACTGACGAAATCGATAGTGCAGTTTGGGTCCTAGGCAAAAAAACGGCTTCTTTGGAGACTATATATATATCACAGAGACAAGTGTTACAAAATTCAGTAATTAGTAATTTCAAAACCCTCATAAAAGTAACATAATTTGAATATTCCAGGAATCAATAAAACCGTTATTCATAAATAACGATTTTTAAAGGACTTTTTTAGGCTTAATATAGTGTTTCACAGTTTGTCAATAATAATATTAAAAGAAATCTGAAAAACTGATAATTCTTGTTTTTGCAAGTAATGGTTAGTGGAATATAATTTAGACAAAACATATTTTAATATTTCTTATTATTGAAAGCCTCATTAACTTGACCCAGTAATTTTGCATGTTTTGAAATCTTTCTGCAAAAAAGTATGTTGGAAAAATATGAATTAAGTGTTTTTTGAAATGATCGATTAAATTTAAAATGACAATGACACAATAGTGAAGCGTAGGAAGTGAAAGTTGAGAATTCGTACTCAAACAGTTGCTCGGCATACTCCGCACGCTACGAACGTTGTCTACGTGACAACTTACATTTTCTCACTCCATAATTACTCATGACCAGGAATACTGTTTGAGAGTGAATTAAATTTTTCACGCACTGATCGTTGTACAGGGTGGGCTAAGTTGATCGGATTTTAAAAAATGAGTAAAAAAAGTACAAAGAGTAGCAGACAATTTATATTTTAATAAAGTAGACAACACATGGGAATTTTATTTTTTTAAAATAACTTGCTGGTACATCGCTCGTGGGATAGCGGACATCTAGTCTAAAATGTTGTGCTTGTTACGAAGCATTGCTATGTAGCGATTGGAATTTACCGTTACAGTCTGGCCTTGCTCGTTTCCGAAGAAATAGGGTCCGATGATTCCTTCAGCTGACATGGCCGCCCAGACTGTAACATAACGCGAATGCAAAGGTCGTTGGTGTTTTAATTTGGAATTTTCTGCCGCCCAATACCGGTAATTTTGCTTGTCGACAAATCCATTCAAATGCAAATGAGCTTCATCAGAAAAGAAGATATTGTTCAAACTTGGAAAGCGTTGTAACATTGTTTCGGCAAACGCACGGCGTAGATAGTAGTCCTGCGGTTTCAGTCCCTGCACTAGTTGAAGTTTATGTGGGTGCAATTTAAGATCTTTTACCAAAATGCGCCTTTTAGATGTTCCTGATATGGCGAGCTCAGCTGATCTCTTTCGGGATGATAACTGTGAAACTTCAATTACTGTTTCCTCTGTTCGTATTGACCTTGGACGCCCCACCAGTGTCGAACCGGTGGACTCAAAACTTTCCGACCCACGACCTGATCACTATGACATTGATTTAGATCACGTAAACCAAACTCAGAGCGAAACAGACGCCTCACAATAGTGCACGAATCTCCTTTTCTGTAATAAGCCTTAACACAGAACACGCTAATCATCGGTGAAACGCTCTATGGCGACTAAATTTCCGAGCACCAAGCTACTTATCCCCACTATCCGTGTCCCGCTCCCGCGTGCCTGTCACACGAGCAATGCGGTATTGAAATTCGTACGTCTTTTTGGTCCACCCTGTATTACGCTTCTTTGAAAGTTCTGCAGTGCAATTTTATGACAGACTGGAGTCATTTGTTGACTTCACTCCATCTAAAGATCGCTTTTGTAGATGAAATCCCCATTAGTTCGATTTTCACACTTTACTACCTTTTACACAAGTACAGCATTATATTTGTATGATTAAACCTTTGTCGGTACGTCGGTACCTAGGTCCGTTTTCGTGCAAATACTGATTTCATTTGGTTTGTGATGGGACAGTACTATTACACAATTTATATCAAATTATGAAGAATGTATGTATCAAGAAAAGGCACTGCGCGGAATGGTTTTGAAGTTTGCTACTCGCTTTCATTGATTTATTGGTTGGTACTGCATTATTGGTCGAATGTTCTTTATAGCCAAAACAGAGCCATTTATGAGAGCAAGGACAGAAGACCTGTGGTGCTAAATTGTCAGAAAATATTTAGAATTTGCTATACTTACAATGAGCTGAATGCAGCAACACGATTTTATTATTATTGCATACTTATTCCCTATATTCATTTTTCCAAAATATGTTGCACACTATTAGAAAATATTTAACTCATTTTAGCCATCGCATTTGCTGAAATATGATTATCCGATCTAATAACTAATGAAGCTTCTGAGAATATTCACTATGGGATCCACTAGTAAAAGTGAAAGAATCATTGGCATTTTGGCAGTTTATGATTATTCTTATCGATACACTCGCATATTTTCCAACTTCCAAGGTACACATTAGATGGAAGACATTATTGGTAGACTGCAAATGAATGATAAGTAATCCCCACCATGAAGAAATGAAAGTCTAAACAAAAGTAAATTTGATTAAAAAAATGTTTAATGATTCGTTGCAAGTATTTGAACAATAAATTCAACTAAAAATAATTATCGGTTTGGCAACACCAAAAGCAAAAAACAACCGCAAGTTAATTACTTGCTGTTGTTTTTGTTGTTCCTCTAAATTAGTTTTGCAGGTCCATCTCTCCCAAATTGTATCCGCATTGTCTATCTTCTCTCGGTCTGCTTTCTGTTTGGTGAAACGCCTTAGGTGATTTGCATCATTTGAATATGAAATGACAACTTCCATGTAATTTCCAGGCAACCGTCGAGGAACAACCCACCGAGGCACCGTCACCGCTTAAAGAGGAGCCTAGCAAACAATCCCAGGAAGCCGTTGCGGCTACTACGGTAACGGCGTCCGCCGGAGAGGGCAGCGATACCAGCCCGCCAGCGGCGAAAAAGGGCGCCAAACGTACCAGGGGAAAACGGAAATCGGGCGAGACCATCATCGACCCCGAATCGATTGTCGCGAAGAAAAATCTGCGATCGAGCGCCAGCAGATCGGCAGCCGCTGCCGCCGCGCGGCAAAAGCTCGAAGCTGAAAACGCGCAGAGAGAGAGGAATGAGGAGAACGTCAATGCGAACTCTTAGAAGCGGTCCACCCGCGGCAAACGATCAGATGACACTAGGTGAAGCATCCTATCATCTCATTAATGCTACATAATTTTTTTGCGACAATGCTAGAAATCTAATTTTTTGTCATTATACGTGTACGAGCCACACAAAAATGTTCGGACATTATCTAACTTTAACTAAAAGTTTCTTTATTTTTGTAAGGTTAAAAATTAATTCTTTTTCTCTTATAAGACAATGAAATATATTGTTTGCACATCATATTAAGAATACTGTTACCATGGAAACTAGAGAGAGATAATCGATTCTGTGAATCAACAACAAAGAATGAGAAAACGTGTTTTTGGGATTCAATTGAAAGTGTTAGTAGGAATGAAAAAACTCTTCAAATAAAATTTTTAGATGTTTATGAGACCTTCAAAATGAGGCCACACGTAAAAAGATTCTACTATAATAGTATGCAGTCATCAATAATGCAGCCCACATACTAACTAGGCTACGACAGTTTGAAACATAATTGTGTCTTCATTTTGCGTGCTAACTTTATAAACAGTTCAGCGCATTTATGTATTAAATTTTTAGTAAATTCTCAAAAACTACTTGACCAATCGACTTCACTTTTGTTGTGGTTATGAAGAACGAAAGTACGAATCCTACGAATTTGAAGAATTTCAAGTAGCTTCGTGAAATTTACCTTAAACAACTTGCATCAATAAAACCACACTTTACAATTATTTCGAAAACCAGGGGTATTGTCGTCTAATATGATTAGACTAAAAGCAACATACGGTGCAATCAGAGTTTTCATCATAAAATTGTTTCATCAAGAAAAGAGTTTTCGGGATATTGCTGAACAAATAAATGTCGCAAAGTCTCAAGTGGCAGATATTGTAAAAAAGTATGGCGGCACAGGTTCAACTCAAGTTTCAAAACATGGTGTTGCAAAGATCTCTTGTTCGTATTTGAAAAGCTGGTCGTCTAGGTACTGTAAGGGACATAACGGCAAAATGGAATGAATAAACAGCAGGAAATGTTTCACGAGAAACGTGCGGTCTGTGGACTAAGTCTGGTTTACATTGATTAGCATTAATCGAAATTCGATGTTTGTGTGGATGACCACCGATCCCGGGTTATAAAAGACAAAAATAAAGCGTTTTATAAAGACTGCCTAAAAATGAAAGTTTCCATCAGGTTTAATGGTATTGGGAAGCATATCTGCTTTTGGCGTTGGAAAACTTCACTTTATAGACGGAAATGTAAACCCAGCTAAATATCAAAATATCATTGAAACCAATTTGCTAGTGTCAGTTCAAATTTTATCACCTGATAGAAACTTTATTTTTCAACAAGATGGTGCGTCATGTTATACTGCCAAAACCACAAAAAAATGGTTGCAGGATAATAATATTCCCGTCCTTGACTGGCCTTTCAGTAGTTCTGATTTAAATATCGAAACTGTATTACACAAAATGAAGCAATAGTTAAGAAATGATCCACAACGAAACATTTTTGATTTACGAGTAAAATTACAAAACTTTTAAGGCGGAAGGCTGCGAAAATCTTGCTAAACAATATTGTTGTTATCAAAACTACTTTAGTTTTTTAGTTTAATATTATATTACTTGATACTAATGTTGTTAATATGATGTCCAAACAATATATTTCAATGTATTATAAAAGAAACAAATTATTTTGTAACCTTAAAAATGAACCAAGATAAAATTAGATAGTCTCCGAACTATTTTGTGTTCGGGCTCGAATAAAATTTTGCCGCATAGTTAACAGTTTACGAGAAATCCAAACATACATTGGTCGGCTTCATTGGCCTTGGGTAATGACCTGCATTACTGGTATATAATAACCGCCCTTGATGTGTGATGCTCGCTCGTAGTCTATATAGGAAGTGACCATGCAGTGTTGACAAACTGCTAGAATATGTTTAGAAACTGCTACATTTATACTGAGAATAGCCGATTTCATATACAGGGTGTTTTCAAAGTGAGTCATTTATTTTAACTGCTTGAAGGACTCATCAAAAGCAGTTGATATACCAAAAATGTTGCATAATAAAAGAAATAGTAAAAGAGTAATTATTTGAAAAATAAGAATGTTATTACACAGATTTTTTGATATTCTCGACCACTGCTGTATAAAATCTTGACGATTTTTGTTTACTACTCTTATGGTTTATCCAAATTTGGCAAACTTTTTGTGTTATTGTATGGTTTTCAGTACGAGTCTTTGGTTCGATCAGTTGTATCACTCTTTTAATGGTGCGTATACTTCCATTTGTCTGATTATTTTGTGCGAAAAAATCGCAAAAACCATGAACTGGTGGACGTAATGAGAGTATCAATAAAATGCAGCCGCAGCATGCAGATTGTATGCGGAAAGGTTTCCTTTAAGAAATCATTCAGCCCCACGGATGTTTGCAAATTTAGTTATTATACTTCGTGAGACAGGATAGTTAAAAGAACAACGAGGAGGTCACGCTGGAAGATCTACTCAATCTGAAATGTTACAAATTGAGAAAGACATTTTAGAAACACTGAGTACTAGAGCCATAGCAACCCAAGTTGAAGTTTCTCATAGTAAAGTGTAGAAGACAATACGACAAGAACAGTATTATCCTTATCATTATCAATGGGCACAAGCGTTACAACCTGAAGATCGTCCTAGAAGAGTTGGATTTTGCCAAAGGCGTTTAGTTAGTTAGGCTGTAGTTCGGCAGGTAAATGAAGATTTTACGAAATTAATTTTCTGTAGAGACGATGCCACATTTACACGAAAAAGAACACATTAAGTGGCATGCTTATCGGACCCAACTTTTTCAACCTTGACTGTCTGGTGAAATTTATTTAGATTTTCTTCGACACAATCTGCCACAATTATTAGATGTTCCTCTAAATGTGAGACAAAAGTTGAGGTTCCGACATGATGGGTCTCCAACACATTTTAGGCGAAAAATTTATGAACATCTAAATGATGCGTTTCCGAATAGATGGATAGGGCGCAATGGACCCATTTCATGGCCTGCTCGCCGGATTTAACGCTTTGCGATTTTTTGTTGTCGTAGGTGCTTGAGACAGAAACAGTTATTACTAAAACGGCTAAGAAAACAACCTGGAAAATATTTTCAAATCTCTGAAATGGTCGCTAGGGGGTGTAACTGCAATCTTGAATCTAAAAATGTGATGTTTCGGTGAATTCCGCTATATTAACCTAACAAAAAAATCCTGATCTTTAAAGTCGATGATAATGTGAACTTTTTTTGTTTGACCATTTTCGCGGTATCTCTAAAAATAAAGTGATTGGGGGGTATTCAAAGGTTGGGCTAATTGAAAATAGCATTCTTGGGCTACAAATCTTATAATATTCGAAGTTTTGTTAGTTTCTCATGTGGCCACTAGACGGATTTTTTCGGCATTCCGGCGGAAATGGTTGATTTTCTCAAAAAAATTTGATGCATTGGTATGATTTTTTGTTGTTGTTGAAAACGTAGCTATATAGTGTTTAAACAAGCTCGTGAAAACCGTATCTCGGTCTCTTGCTCCTAACCTAAAATTTATGCTAAAGAAAATTTTATACGGAAAAAATCCCTGAAATTCTTATTTGTTCAAACTAATTTTTCTGGAATTTCTTATGAAATACTGCTAAAAATACGATCTTTGAATAAATGAAAGTTCTTAATTAAAAGACTAAAAGAGTGTATTTATCTAATCAATTAGCACCATTCATGGCTTTTTTGTATGTGGTCAAACATTTCAAAATTCAGTTTAAAACGTGTCGATTTTGATATAAAACGAAGTGAAAAAAATCGAGTTCAGCACTTGATTTTTTAACTGTCCTCCTATAGTACTTGAAATATATACGTATAATATTAAAGGTTGCAGGATTTAGATGAGTGTAGCCGTAGAAACTGAATTTAGAACTTTTGTATTTTCGGATATGAAACGGTCTCGGTCCATACTACCTACTACTATGTAAATTTAAGTACGGAACACCCCGTATGGATGTTTTATCAATATTCCTATCTGAATGTGCAATAAAATTTGGGACATGCCGTTTAAATGAGTTGACATATAATGAGGCATCACATAACTCCCCAGTCCATTTAAAAGCGCTATAGATTGTATGTATTTTTTGCGTATCAAGATAAATGAACATTCAATAATGCAAATGTTTTTTCACAGGAAAACAATCTGGGACACAGAGAGAACTTCACAATGTGAAACGACCTCGAGTGTGACTGGGCCTTTAGACACATCCTCATGGGTTTTTGGTGAACTGTGATATAAACAAAAAGACTCGACATAATGATACAGCGCGGTGTACTCTGTGTTTTTTTTTTTGAATGGATTATTACGCTTGTCTTATATGTACTCTCCAAGTTTACAAACTAAGATAGATAAATATTCGGTAGGTTTAAATAATGTTATAACCAAGTGAATGGCTCTGTTTAGGAAAACCACTAAGGTGTGGTTAAGTTTTTTATTGTGAGTGTACATCTTTATCAGTAGGAATATTTCTCCGTTTATTATACGATATTCTTCATTTTTACTTTATATAGTTTGTATATATTATTCTTTTAGTGATTATTACAACTTCGTTTTTTGACATATGTGAAACGTGTGTAAATAAAATTTAGCCCTTATTTTTCCTTTTTTATTTAACTTGGCACAAGTCTGAAAAGTATTTATTTTCTTTTTTCATTTACATTTGTCGGTCTTTTGTTGATATCTATTAAGATCTGTCTTATATATATATACAATTCTCGTATAAACATAGTAATGGTAGCTCTCTCCTTGTTACAATGTTCATATAGATAATTAAATGATATGAATGAGTAACAATCTTTTATTGCATCATGTGCAAGGCCTTTGCCCGTATACCGCCGTATCATATACCTAGTGACCGTGTCCAGCAAAAATATTGTCTTCTACACGTAGATGATGACATTCACATGGCCCATAATCTGACAGGCAGGTATATATACCAGTAGATTACACAAAGTAAACATCAAGCTGTCCGCAGGCGGAAGCCTCGGAAAAGGTTTTGGAAGGAAAAAAGCAAGTATAGCGTAGTTTGGAAGAAAAATATAGTACAGGGTGCGGCAGAGAGGACGGACGGTTTTGGGATGGGTAGTACTCTCCGCCTCCGTCTACGAGAGAGGTGGGGAGGGTGCCGTTTGACTCGTGAGATCCTAGCATTATTTTACCAGTTGTCGTTATGGAGCCTTGGACGGTGGAGCACCGCGTTTTCGCCTATGATTGTTTCGTCCGAAATAATGAGTCAGTCATCGTCGTACAGCGTGAGTTTCGTCGGCACTTCAACATTCATCGGAGTAGAGCTGTTCACTCTCGAAACACTATCCTTCGTTGGGTTAAATCACTTCGCAGGCGTGGTTAACTGATCAACAGAAGACCAAGAGGAGCGCCGCGAACATTTCCAACTCCTGAAAATGTTGAACACGTTCGACAGGTATTTCTTCGCAATCCGACTCGATCTGCCCGGAAACATGCTGCTGCACTTCGCCTTAGTGATCGTTCGGTAAGGCGAATTTTACATATGGATCTCCGCTTTCACCCCTACAAATTGGCCATTGTGCAACAGTGACAGCCCGGAGATTATGCACAACGAATGAACTTCGCACGTGTGATGGAAGCACTGATCGATCAAAATGAGAACCCCAGATTTATCCATATGCGATTTTTTCTTATGGGGACACCTCAAGGCTAGAGTATACGCGAACAAGCCCCGAACTCTGGACGAATTGAAGGGCGAAATTCCGTGGAAATCGCCCAAGTTGAGAGAGCGATGTTGGAGAGAGTCTATGCGAACTTGCAAGAACGCCTCCAGCACTGCATCAACGATTTCGGCCATCACATGCTTGATGTCATTTTCCACACTTGACTGTCTCAAATGCTATTTCTTGTGAACCTGATTCCATTAATAAATTTGTTTTCGAGTAAAAATTAACTATTCTATGATTTTTTTAAAACCGTCCATCCTCTCTGCCGCACCCTATATATATATATATATATATATATATATTTGTTATTTGCTTTGATCATCGATAAGGATTGAATACTTTGAGTATTCTTAGCCAAGGCCTTCGACACTGGGTATCACATGAAATAATTACAGGTCTTAGAAGGACATGGCTTTCGAGGAATTCCATTAGACCTACCGAGATCTTACTTGCAAGACCGAAAACATGGTAATGACAAGATACCTCAACTTATGGAATTTGGCATTGCTTGGGTCCACCAACTTTTCACAATTTATATGAACGCGGTATATTGAACATGATTTTACTGGCAGTATAGCGTCCTTTGTAGACGACACCGGTAATACTTTTTGATGACACTTCATGGCAAGAAGTTAAACAGGAAATGGAAATTGGATTTTTTGAAAAAACACTTTTACGTGCACCACAGTACCATTCCGGAGTTCAACACATTGAAAATTTAGTCAAAAGTTATCAACAATAGTAATTAAAGAGGCAGACCATGTCTTTTTTTTGAGGGACTGATATCGACAGACTCATCAGATGGGATATTCGTGCCGGAAATTTAGTAAAAAAAAAATTGAGAACGGTTTACACAACATCTTCAAAATTAACATTTCGCTGGCTTAGGGTTTATAAGGTTCTATGTGACAATTTGGTACTTTGTAAATAAAGGCTCTCAAAGTTCTATGACAACTATGCTACGTATTGTTCCGGGTGCCCGAATTCTATTATTTTCTTCTACGAAACTATAGGACATTATTTCATAAAACTATGCAGCAATATTATATCTTCCAAGTTACAAAGTCCCATGTTCTCCATATTGATGTGGCGGGGACTCTTTCCAGAAAGTGAAGCAGGAATAAATACATCATTGTGGTAATGGATTACTCAGCAAGTGGGTTGAGGAATACGCTATGCCAAATCAGGAAGCCTCTACGGTAGCCGATGCTTTAGTAAAGGAATGAATATGTCGACTTGCTGTACCTTTACAGTTGCATTCGGACCCAAGGGTTGCAATTTCGAGTCAAATCTGTTCCAAAGTGTCTGTCAAATCTTGGGATTAAGAAGACCAGGACTACTGCCTTAAACCCGCAGTCAGATGGAATGGTGGAGCGCATGAATAGGACCATTAACCGGTATCTGGCTAAGGTAGTTTCTAGCCATCAAAGAGACTGGGATAGTTTTCTTCATCTCGTCTTATTGGCTTACCGATCGTCGATTCATGAGAGCACAGGAGAGACCCCGGCTCGAATAGTTATGGGAAGAGAACTTCGTCTCCCGTGCGATCTAAAGTTTGGCTGTCCACCAGGAACTGATATTGCCGGAGAAGACTACGTAAGTGAGCTGCGTAGAAGAATGGACGTCACCCATAGCCAGGTTCGTGTTTCAATTCAAGGTGCCAGCAACCGGTTGAAGGAAACTTATGACGTTAATGCCAAAGATCAGGTATGACAACGGTGATACGGTTTGGCGTTACGACTCAAAGAGGCGAAAAGGGCTGTCCCCTAAACTTCAATCATCCTGGGACGGACCATATAAAGTTCTGGAGGCCATCAACGATGTTCTCTACAGGATTCGGAAGGCGCCACGTGGTAAAGCCCAAAATGTACATTTCAACCGACTTACCCCTTGTCATGGAAACAACG